CAGTAAGGGGATGAGAGAAGAAAGAGCCTCCCACAAGTGGGGGTGAGGGGAGAATCCGGCAGAGGACCAGTAAGTGGAAAGGCAGAGGGCTCTGGCTTGTCTTGTGAAGGGACCAGGGACAGATGCCACTGGGGTGTGGTGCGCAGCGGGGCGGGGGAGGGGCAGTTCCCCGAGGGCCGTGGTGAGGAGACTGGACTTTATTCGAAGTACAGGCACACCTCATTTTATTATGCTTCACTTTATTGCGTTTTACAGATTCTGCCTTTCTTACAGATTAAAGGTTTGCAGCATCCCTATGCTTAGCAAGTCTGTTGGTGTCATTTTTCTAACAGTGTGTGCTCACTTCATGTCTCCATGTCACATGTTGGTGATTCCCACAATATTTCATACTTTATTATTATTATTATGATTATCTGTCATAATGATTTGTGATCAGGATCTCTGATGCTACTGTTGTAATTGTTTGGGGCAGCGCAGATCCCACCCATATAAGAAGGTGAACTTAATTGATAAATGTTATATGTGTTCTGACTGCTCCAGCAACCAGCCATTCCCCTGTTTCTTTTTTTTTTTTTTTAACATGCGGGGTACAAGTCATTCCCCCATTTTTCTCCCTCTCCTTAGGCGACCCTATTCCTGGAGATGCCACACATATTGAAATTAGGCCAATTAATAACCCTACAATGTCTTGTAAATGTTCGAGTGAAAGGAAAAGTGACACGTTTTTCACTTTAAATCAAAAGCTAGATATGATTAAGTTTAATGAGAAAGGCATATCAAATGCTGAGACAGGCCAAAAGCTAGGCCTCTTCTGTCAGTTAGACAAATTGTAAATGCAAAGGAAAAGTTCTTGAAGGAAATTTAAAGTGCTACTGCAGTGAACACACGAAAGGTAAGAGAGAAAAACCAGCTTATTGCTGAAATGGAGAAAGTGACAGTGGTCTGGATAGATCAGATCTGCCACAACATTCCATCAAACCAAAGCCTAAGCCAGAGCAAGGCCCTAACTCTCTTCAGTTTTGTGAAGGCCAAGAGAGATGGGGAAGCTGCAGAAGAAAGTTGGTTCGTGAGGTTTAAGAAGAGAAGTTACCTCTGTAACATAAAAGTACAAGGTAAGACAGCAAGTACTGATGGAGAAGCTGCAAGTTATCCAGAAGAATTAGCTAAGATCATTGATGATGGTGACTACAATAAATAGTGAATTTTTCAATGCAGAAACAGTCTTATATTGGAAGAAGATGCCATCTAGAAATTTCATAGCTGTAAGGTAAACGAAACCAGACCAGGTGAAACGGCAACAAAGGAGCCAAGAAAAATTTATTAGCGCAGTCCCGGGCGAGGTTCACCGGCCCATGTAGCTGTGGGCCAGAGAAGTCGCGCTCAGCAAGATGGGTGACAGGCTTATAAAGGGCACACTGAGAAAGCTGTGAGGGGTTGGGGAGAGCAATCACTGGTTGGGACAGCTGTCACATCTGCTGGCGATTGGCTGAACGAGGTTGCTAGAGTCGCTGTAGCAGGTACTGGCTGGCTTTGCAGCTGGAGTCTTAGTTCCAGTCACTCATTTTTGCTGGCTCACTCTCACCCATTGTTCTCCTGGTCCGGGTTGGAGCCATCTTGTTGAGGCCTGCCCTGCCCTCCAGTACCTCCGGCCTTATAATAGCTAGAAAGAAATCAATGCTTGGGTTCAAAGAACAGGCTGACACTCTTGTTAGGAACTAATGTAGCCAGCAACTTTAGGTTGAAACCAATGTCCACTCACCGTTTTGAAAATCCTAGGGTCCTCAAGAATAATGTTTAATAATCTACTCTGCCTGTGCTCTATAAAGAGACAACAAAGCCTGGGTGACAGCACATCTGACTATAGCATGACTTTACTGAATATTTTAAGCCTTTTGTTGAGACCTACAGCTTAAGAGCCATTTCAGAACATTACTACTTGTTGACAATACCTAATGACTTAAGAGCTCTATAGAGATGTACAAAGAGATTAATGTTTTCATGCCTGCTAATACAGCATCCATTCTGTAGCCTACGAATCAAGAGATAATTTTGACAATTTTAAATCTTATGATTTAGGAGATACATTTTGTGAGGCTATAGCTGCCATAGATTCCTCTGATGGATCTAAGCAAAGTAAGCTGAAAACCTTGTGGAGAGCATTCACCATTTTAAATGCCATTAAGATAATTCATGATTCATGAGAGAAGGTCAAAATCTCAACATTAACAGGAGGTTGAAAGAAACCGATTCCAAACCTCTCAGATAATTTTGGGGTGTTTCAAGACTTCAGTGGAGGAAGTAACTGCAGATGTGGTAGAAACAACAAGAAAACTAGAACTTAAAATGGAAGCTGAAGATGTAACAGTCGCTGCAATCTCGCAGTACAGTGTTAATGGATGAGGGTTGTTACCAAGAGGTTTCTTGAGATGGAGTCTGTTTCTGGTGAAGAGCTGTGAATATGGTTGTAATGACAGCAAATAATTTAGACTACTGAGCACACTTAGTTGATAAAGCCGTGACAGGGTTTGAGAGGATTGGCTCCAATTTTGAAATAAATTTTGCTGTGGGTGAAATGCTATCACATAGCCCCAGAGTGGAAAAGGGAAGTGAACCAGGCAGTGGGCTCCTGCTGGGCTGGGCTGGCGGAGGCAGAAGGCAGCACCTAGCAGAGGTGTCCAGCTCTGGGATGTCAAAGGACACGGTGTCATCGGCCCAGTTCCAAAAGGCGGATGTGGATGAGTACGAGGGAACAGCTTCATGGGCGAGGAAGACGGGGGCGACGGCCAGGCTGGGCCACGAGGGCGAGGCGGACTCCTGCCTGTGGCAAGGAAACATGATGACTGCCCTGCGGGCAGCTCTGACCAACCCTCGTCAACACTGAGAGTCCAGCAGTGAAAGGCCAGGCAGGCTCGTCTCTCTCTCTTTTTTTGAGTCGGAATTTCACTCCGTCGCCCAGGCTGGAGTGCAGTGGCACACTCAGCCACCCCAGCGTCGACCTGCTGGGCTCCGGCGATCCTTCCGCCTCAGCCTTCCAAGTAGCCAGAACTATAGATGCACGCTACCATGCCTGGCTAATTTTTCTGATTTGTTGTAGAGACGAGGTCTCGCCAAGGTGCCCGGGCTGGTCTCAAACCCACCCGGCCTCCCAAAGTGCGGGGTTTACAGGCTGAGCCACCACGCCCAGCCTGCTCCTTTCTTAAAGCTAACGGTGTCGTAAAAGCAGTTCAGTCCCTGGTGTGGATCTGCCAATGAAGTATATTCATAAAGGCTTCACAAGCCCCTCCGACATTAGCAGTGCCATATTGTTACAATGGCATGAAAAGGCAATTGCTGTTGGGAGAGTGGGTCCACCGTTCATGTCTTGACTGCAACGAAGAGGGTGTAGTTGGGCCAGAGCTGAATCCTGACTCGGGAATATGCCGGAGTCCTGCTCCAGCAGAGTTCAGAGATTCCCGAAGGTGGAGACAGCATCAGCGATTGTGAGAAAGAGAGAGAGAGAGAGACTTGGACAACTGTTCAGATTTGAGCAGAAGACAACCTTTATTGAGTGTTAACAGTAGGCTTTTACACTCCGTCCACCAGATGCTCTTTCAGGTATGAAGAAGAAAATCCCATAACAGACGCTAACCTTGATCCATGACTGACCTATCCTATAAACTCTTTTCATCCTATGCTAATTTATACTAATACCAAGTTAAACGATTCTATAGAAACTTAAATACTTACTTTACAACCCAAAGCGGCCCATCCCAGAATGTTTGGAATGTGGCCCAGTCCAAAGTTCACAGTGGGCTACCTGCAAGTAACCTAGCTGCATTCTTTCAACAAAATGGCTGTCTAAACTTATATTTCTAAAACTATATTCTACAATTTACACCTTACTCAACTTCAGTAAATCCTAAAATCACAACCCAGAAGCCTGTGACCAATACTAAGGCTCTTAGATGTGACCCGAGTTTGAAGTGTAAGTTGTGTGAAAGCCAGAACCGCAGTTTGTGGAAGAATGGGCGCAATGAGCTCCTAAAGTTAGCTTGTGTTCGTCCCGGTCTCAGAGTTTTTATGTTTGAGCTTACAGGAGCTTTTTCTGGTTATAGTGCTAAGTAGAAAGGGGGAGGAAATGGGGTCAACAGCTCCCGAATGCATCCTAGTGGTCTCGGGTTCAACGGCCCTCCCTGATCCCTAACGCTCAGTGAGTGGTCTTCCGTGGCCAGCTCCCAACAGGAGTGGAAGTCACTGGTACAAAGACCAAACACCAAATGCCTCCAGTGTCCTGTGGGCAGCATCTGCTTCTCTCAGCTTTGTCTTCTTACTTCCTTTTTCGTGTCTGTAAAAAAGAAGAGTACATAAAAGTACATATCAGTCTTCCTTTCATGAAACTTGGGATATTATAGAGAAAATTTTGTTTCGACAGTTGTGTTTCATTCTCCTAAAACCATTTCAGTGATGTATACACCAGTCTGTATATAGAATAATTTGCATTCAAGTTTACTTGTGCAAGTTTTAACCCCTGTTGGCCGGTTTTTTTGTTGCATTTTGTATTTTTAACTAATACTGAGAGATTTTATCAGGATTTGAGGCCAGTTTCCTAACTCACTGCTAGGCAGGAAGTGATCTTTCTTTAAAAAAAAAAAAAAAAAGCAGGAGAGACTGGCAGCTATTAACATTACAAAACTGGACCATAATTCCCTTATTTAAGCAGAATGTGTTTCTGGAATAATGGTGGGCGAACACCACTGCCAGCCTCCAGCTTTGCGTCTGCTTGTTGCCAGATTGTCTGTGCTGTGAGGTTGAAGATGCTTCTTCCTCTTGGCATCTAATAATCCTGGCCTCTCAATTTCTTTGTGGTCACCCAGGGTTCAGAGCAAGGAATCTTGCTCCATACACATGTATCTATAAAATAACAGAGCTTGTTTGGCATGAACACCGAAGTTTTGTTCCAGTAATGTGACTCTGTTTGGGTATGCTACTACAGATTGGAAAGGATGTGGAAACCATGAGGTCATTCACACTCTGGGCAGCCTCTGAGTGAAATGCTGTTTTCTTTAGAAATACAGTAGCCGGGCCAGATGCGATGGCTCAAGCCTGTAATTCTAGCACTTTGGGAGGCCGAGGTGAGGGGATTGCCTGAGCCCACAGGTTCGAGAACAGCCTGGGCAACTTGGTGAGACTGCATCTCTACAATTCATCAAAAAATTAGCCAGGCGAGGTAGCGCGCGCCTGTAGTTCCAGCTACTTGGAAGGCTGAGGCGAAAGGATCGCCGGAGCCCAGCAAGTCGACGCTGGGGTGACTGTGGCAACAGAGTGAGACTCCAACTCAAAAAAAAAAAAAAAGAAATACAGTAGCTGTCTCAGACAATATGAGGGATACAACTAATATTAGATACCATTTAATATGCCCCATAAATGTCTTCAATGTTCTTCAGAGTAATGGGGATCTCAGAAGATTTGGTTCAGATCCAAACAAATATACATTCTGTGTGTTAGCTAAGGGCTTTCTTTAAAAAAGAAAATACCACAAAGCAAAAAATTGTTTATCTTGTTGGACAAACCAAATCAGTTCTCAAAAATGCCAGTGTTGAGCAAAAAAAAAAAAAAAAAAAAAGTACTGTCAAACAGCAGCTCGTGCTAAAGGGAAATCTTTGATGGAAGGATGAATTAATCGATGTACCACACTTTATTGTTGTCTTTTTTTTTTTGAGTCAGGGTCTTACTCTGTCGCCCAGGCTGGAGTGCAGTGGCACACTCACAGCCACCCCAGCATCAACCTGCTGGGCTCTGGCGATCCTTCTGCCTTGGCCTTCCAAGCAGCCAGAGCCACAGGCACGTGCTACCACGCCTGACTAATTCTCTACTTTATTTTGTTGTGGAGACGTGGTCTCACCAAGTTGCCCGGGCTGGTCTCAAACCCGCGGGCTCAGGCAATCCACTCATCTCGACCTCCCAAGGTGCTGGGATGACGGGCTGAGCCTCCAGGCCCAGCCTTATTTTCAGAAATTGCCACAGCCACCCCAGCCTTCAGCAACCACCACCCTGGTCAGTCAGAGGCCATCAACATCCAAGCAAGACCTCCAGCAGCAAAAAGGTCACCACTCGATAGAGGAAGCTCAGATGGTTGTTAGCATTTTTAGAAGTAAAATATTTTTAAATTAAAGTATGTATATTGTTTTTTTAGACATAATGTTATCACCCTATTAATAGACCACAATACAGTGTAAACATTACTTTATATGCGTTGGGAAACAAAAAAAAAAAAAAAATGGTGTGACTCACTTCATTGTGATATTATTAATTTTGTTGCTGTGATCAGGAACTGAATCCACATGTCTCTTAGGTATGCTTGTATAGTGGTAGCACATTCGGAGGTTTTAATTGCAAGAGATAGAAATTAATTTATGTTTGTTTGTTTTGAGTTGGAGTCTCCGTCACCCAGGCTGGAGTACAGTGGCACACTCACGGCCACCCCAGCGTCAACCTGCTGGGCTCCAGCAATCCTTCTGCCTCAGCCTTCTAAGTAGCCAGAACTACAGGCACACGCTACTGTGCCCACTTAATTTTTTTGATTTATTGTAGAGACGAGGTCTCTCCAAGTTGCCCAGGCTGGTCTTGAACCCTCAGGTTCAAGCAGTCCCCTCACCTCGGCCTCCCAAAGTGCTGGGATTACAGACTGAACCACTGAGCCTGGCCTAATTTATGTTTTAAAAAGATATTTGGGCTGCTGATTGACAGCAAGGAAACAAGTTAGAAGGGCATAACAATGGTTCACCACAGAGTTGATGGTGGCTTAGAATATGGTCGTAGCGTTAAAGATGGTGAAACATGGAAAAGCTTAATTGACAGGATTTGCAAAGAAATTGCCTGTGAATAATGAGACAGAGAGAAGACAGTATTTCAGGATGGCTGCTAGGTTTTGTGGTGCAAAACTGGACAACAGGTGGCCAGCTGCAGGACTGGTTCGCCTTCCCTGAGATGGGGAACTGCAGCGGGCTTGCCAAGAAGATTTTACGTCAGAAGGGGTTTGGGACTTGAGGTTGCTGTAAGACATTCACATTTAAAGCTAATTTAGCCAAAACTTTTCAGGTTGATTACTTGTTCTCTTTTGTCATTTTTTAACAGCTTTTTTTTTTCTCTTATCACACCTAAACTTGGAACATCAGAGCTGTTGTATCTTAAAGTTGTGATGTAAGACTCCTGACAGATGAATGGCAAATATGGCGACATGAAATACAGTGTTGTGAGTTTGTGGGTGTCAGCAAGAGCGCTTGTCCCATGGTCCAACTTTCCTTCCAACACGGATCACAGAATTCAGAAGAGTTCTGAACTTCGTCCATCCTGTGCTGGCTTGGCCTCAACATAAAGGATCAGTGAATATGAAACCTGTTCCTTGGCAAGAGTTGTAAATCCTTTTTTGAGAGGCTTTTCTATATTTACTATAGATTTTCTAGGGTTTCTTCCAGGTCCTCAGATATACTAGGCATGTAATAAATATTTACTCATTTTGAATTTTGGTTTTATTTGGTCTCTTTCTGCTATGAATTTCACTTAATTTTACTTATTTTTTTTTCTAGAAAGTTTAGTACCAGCCAGGCTTGGTGGCTCAGCCTGTAATCCCAGCACTTTGGGAGGCTGAGGTGAGTGGATTGCCTGAGCCTGCAGGTTCGAGGCCCACCTGTGCAACTTGACGAGACCGCATCTCTACAATAAATCAAAACTTAGCCGGGCGTGGTAGCGTGCGCCTGTAGTTCCAGCTACTTGGAGGGCTGAGGCGGAAGGATCGCCGGAGCCCAGCAGCTCGAGGCTGTGGTGGCCGGGAGCGGCCGCTGCACTCCAGTCTGGGCGACGGAGTGAGACTCCAACTCAAAAAAAAAAAAAAAGAAAGTTTAGTACCTTTCCTGTATTAAGTTTGCTTCTTTTTAATACACTATCACCTTTTTCCTTTGGATTGGTGGGTGGTAGAAGAAAAGGACCCTGTTTTAACATCACATTCAGGATAGACAAGGAAAGAAAAGTAGGCTCAGGAAAGTAAGTTTTAAACCCCTTAATGGTATTTTCTCCTTCCTAAAAACCAGCTGACCCAGTTTCGTGTATCCTCAGCCTGGCAACTGTAATAGTTTCTAACTTTGGCTTCTTTTATGTCAGTTATCTGTGGCTGCATAAGAAGTTACCCCAAAACCAGAAGTTTAAAGCAACAGCCATTTTCTATCTCACGTAGTTTCTGAGGTTAGTAATCCCACAGTGGCTTTGCTGGGTGGTCCTGGCTGAGGGCCTCGCATGAGGCAGCAGTCCCGTTGTCAGTCTGTGGTCTGAGTGTGCCCCCCAGATTCATGTGCTGGAACCTTACTGCCCTATGCAACCGTGTTGGGAGGTAATTAGGCCATGAGGGTTCTACCCTTGACCACTGTCAATTGATGCTGCTGTGAAGAAGTGTTCAGGAAGTGGGTTCATGCTCTCTTCTGCCAGATGAGAATACCACATTTGTCCCTGCTTGCCCTTCTGCTCCGTGCCATGTGAGGACACGGCAGGAGAGCCCTCATTGGCAACCAGGGGCTTGATCTTGGACTTCCTAGGTCTTCTGAAGGCTCGACTGGGACTGGAGAATCCTCTTCCCAGATGGCTCGCTCACATGGGTGTTGTCAGGAGACCTTATTTCCTCTCTGGCTCTTGGCAGGAGGTCTGAGTTTCTGTCCTTACCACGGGGGCCTCTCCCCAGGGCTGCCTGAGTGTCCTCGTGACTCAGCGATGTGCTTTTCCAGGGCAAGTGAGTGAGAAAGAGGCGCAGGAGAGGGAATGGGTGTGTTTCGGTATTGACTCTAGAATTTTCTTCCAGACGTCTGTCGAAAGTTTTCCTAGTGTTGATGCTGGTAGCTATTCTTCAACTGAGAAATGTTAGCATCACAGGTATTAAATGTATGTCCTGCTGCTCTGTTTCTGTGCCTTTCTGCTTCCAAAATAATTTTTATTTCAGTCCTAAATCCTAATATAGTCATTTCAATGGCATTTTCTTTGTCCATTTCATGGTGGTATAACAGAATACCACAGACTAAGTAATTTATAAAGACCAAAATTTCTTTCTCAAGCTCTGGAGCCTGGGAAGTCCAAGATCAAGCGCCTGGTTTCCGATGCGGGCCCTCCTGCTGTGTTGTATCCTCACATGGCACAGAGCAGAAGGGCAAGCAGGGACAAAGTGGTGTTCTCATTTGGCAGAAGAGAGAGTGAACCCACTTTCTGAAATCCTTTTCATGGCAGCATTAATTCACTGTCAAGGATAGAACCCTCATGATATTTTCTCCTTCTTCCTAAAAACCAACTAACCCGATTTTATGTATTATAAGCTTGGCACCTGTAATTGTTTCTAACTTTGGTTTCTTTTATGTCAGTTATCTGTTGCTCCCAACATGGTTGCATAGGGCATTAAGGTTCCAGCACATGAATTTGAGAGGACACATTCAGACCATAGCAGATGTTTACACTTAGCACTTGAATTACTTACTGTGCACCCAACTCAGCTGAAGTGCCAGCCGTATGAGCATTTGTGACCAACTATTTGCACACATCCCGACACTGAGAACTGTGCTGTGACTATTGCTTGGCAGGTATCTATTATAAAGTGTATCCTGAATTCAAAAGTATTAGAATGTGGGAAAAAGTATTTCTAAGAGTTAAAGAAATACAGCACATAATTTTCTCCTCCAATCATGAGAAAGCATGTAGATCCAAATCTTTTGCACATGTTTCTTTCCTTAGGATTTTTCAAAGCCTGCAACTCACAAACACGTAGTCTGATGAGGAACAAGATGTGAATATGTGATTTATGACAGGAATATGCAAGTTATTGCCAAAATATTTCATTTTTAAATTTCAGATCTGTAAAAAAGAAAAATCCCTCTTCTGTGGCTTTATTTAATCTTTTGTTGTTGCTGTCCCCCCCTAGGAATAAAGATCACTGTAAACCCAGAATCAAAGGCCGTCTTGGCTGGGCAGTTTGTGAAGCTGTGTTGCCGGGCAACTGGACATCCTTTTGTACAGTATCAATGGTTCAAAATGAATAAGGAGGTAATTGTTTTTAAATGACCTTTTAATTCTTCTAAGAAGAAAGAAGGATAAAAAATTAATTGATGTTGTTAATTGTGAATTGTTAAGTGGTTTTCAGAGTTTAATTAAAGAGTCTGATAGACATTGCTGGGTTATTAGTAAGGTATTTGATAATCATTATTTTGGTATGGCAGTTCCAAAATTGTCTTACCAAAAAATTGTAAACAATAATGAAATCAGTTTTTCACTGTAAAAATTGTGGGAAATAGGGATTACATAGGGCAACAATGTTAGCAAGTATAAAACATCACCAGTACATTCTTACACATCTAAACAAAACTCTGTACAACAGATTATGTTCCAGCCAAAACCTTAGAAAGATTTTCAAGGCTACATGGCAAGCTAATGCAGTATTACTGTTTTTAAAGAATTCCACGCTAAATGCAGTGACTCATGCTTGTAATTTCAGCACTTTGGGAGGCTGAGGCAAAAGGATTGCTTGAGCCCAGGAGTTCAAAACCAGCCTAGGCAACATAGCAAGACCTTGTCTCAAAATAAATAAATCATTTTTAAAAGAATTCCACATAACTGTTTTATATTTTTTTAAAAATTTATGTCATTGTTGTAGATTCTAAAGTAAAATTCAGGTTGGCAGAGTGTGGCATCTGTTCCTTTTGTGAGAGGATTGTATCCTAGCACCACCCAACAAATAATTTAAAATCACATATTAGAGTTCTCTTTTCTCTTCAAGCCACCTTGCCCCTGGGAATTTCTCAGTGGTCTGTCCACTTCTGTGGACTTTTCTCTTCCACTCCCTCATCCTCTCCCTCACCCTTGTCCTCCTCGACTGTGCCATGAAAGCCCACACTTTTCAAGCTGTTAGTTACAGCAGTTCCACTTTCTTCCAGACTTGATGCCACGTGTTCATTTGAAAATCTGAAATTAAATAAAAGAGCTGTTCTGAGAGTATGACTTCTCCTTCAATTGGGTCACCTCATGCCATAGAAGAATGTTGTGGTTTTATGTAATTATTACCTCCACCTCTTATGCAGAGGTAAGGCAGAGCAGTTGCAGAATGTAGGGGAAAAGATTGTGTGTGGCTATGGCACCAGATAGGTCTGTGCTAGAACCCTGACTACTGGTGTGAGCCATGTGAATTCCTACCATGAGAGCTGGTGAAAACTAGGGAGCCAGGATGCTTTGTGTGCCTAGGCTCTTGAGAGATGATAGCTAAAGGAATCTTTACCATACTTTCTCAATTGCAAAATCACTTTCATTTGAATAAGTGCCTTTTGAAGGAGCAATAATGGGAAAAACCTACTACATTTATGTATCTTTTTGTAAAATGTGTTCTGCTTGGAGAAAAGTAGAAGTGTAGGGGATGAGGAGTGCATTCTAGATTTGAAGAGTGTAATGGGCTTAAAAACTCTAACAAGTCAAGTTCTATAAACTACTGTTACATTCATGGGTCTAGTGTAGGAGATATTCATTGAACAGGTGTTTGTTGATACCTGTTTTGTGCCAGGCCATGTTCTAGGCATGATGATGCAACAGTGACCACAAGGTCCTGCCCTCAAGAAGCATCCATTCGAGTGGAGAGAGGCAGGCAGACAGCAAGCACAGTCATTCCTGTGAGTTAGGAGTTATGAGGAAGATCAACAGGTGATGTAACCTGCGAAGTCACTAAAGGTTATAAGCAAAGGAAGTAACATGATAGGATTTATGGTTTCAAGACAAACTTGCTGCTTGAAAGTAGCAGAGAAGAGCAAGACAGCCAGTTATGAGGTGTGGCAATTAAATTCACAAAGTCATCCTAGACAAAGTGCTGCGTACCTCATTGCTGAATATCACTACAGTCACCTTCAAAGTACTCCCCTTGGGAAGCCTTGCACTGACACCAGTACCTAATCCACCCATCAAGGCAGTTTTGGAACTCTTCTTCTGGAATGGCCATCAGAGCTGTTGTCGTATTACCCTTATGTCCTTAATGTCATCAAAATATCTTCCTTTCAATATTTCCTTAATCTTCAGCTAAAGAAAACAGTCATTGGGGGCCAGATCAGATGAGTAGGGAGGGTGTTCCAATACAGTTATTTGTTGACTAGCTAAAAACTCCCTCACAGACAGTGCTCTGTGAGCTGGTGCGTTGTCATGATGCAAGAGCTCCTTTGGGACCATTTTTGCACCATTTTTACACCTTTCTCATGCCCAGATTTTCCGTTAAGACTTTCGCAACTATTTCTCTATCAGTGTTTATTCAGTCTGCTATGCTTCTCACAGCTGATGGTTTGGACACACAATGTGATGAATTTTTGCAATGTTCTCATCAGTTCTGCCCGCTACTGGCCGTCCTGACCTTTCTTTATCAGTGACACTTTCTCTCCCCTCAGAAAAACGTTTAATCCATTTGTACACTGCTGTTTTCTTCATGGCATTATCCCCATAAACTTGGGTTAACCTGTCACTGATTTCACTTCCACTCTTGCCAAGTTTAACAAGAAATGTAATGTCTGTTTATTGCTCCAATTCAAGCTCTGACATTCTTGCAACGGCACACAAAAATATGTAACAGTAATAATGAACACCACTCAGCACGACACCACCACACATCAACACAAACACAGTGTACCAACTTGTTTGTACAGTGCTGCCAATGTAAGCGCATAGTGACAATTTTATGAACTTAATTGTCTTTCGTATCTAAGGCCTGTGCTTGATTGGAAATAGCCATGGTGTCTAGAAATAGGGCCCAGCAGTGGAGGTGGATCCCAGTGCATAATTCACAGTGTGTCATTTTAGAGATACAGTCAACCAAACTGACCAATTGGATGTGGAACGTGGGGAGAAAAGAGGAGAAGTCAAGGAAACCCCTCAGTTTTCCACTTGAGCCTCTGGGGTGTGTTTACACTGAGGACTTAAAGATAAGAGCAGAAGAGATCTAGGGAGGAGAATCGAGAGTTGGACTTCGGACGCGTGACGCTTGAGATGCCGCTGCACGTCCCGATAGCTCAGGCAGTCATGGTCTTCGGGGACGACATTGAGGGCTGCGTAGCGGAGGAGGGACCGGCAAACAGACCAAGAAGGACCTGCCAGGGAGAGGAAGAAAGCCAAGAAAGGATGGTATGGACGTCTGAAAAGGAAACCAAGCGGGAGATATCACACTTCCAGACTTCAAGCTTTACTATAAAGCTGCAATAATCAAAACAGCCTGGTATTAATGCAAGAACAAGCATATGAACCAATGGAACAGGATGGAGATCCCGGAAGCAAAACCTTAATTTCTCAACCACCTCATCTTTGACAAGGCCTCCAACATCTACTACTGAGGAGAGGAGAGCCTATTCAGTAAATGGTGCTGGGAAAACTGACTGACCACATGTAGAAGACTGAAACAGGACCCCTACCTATCACCATACACAAAAATTAACTCTAAATGGATCAAAAACCTAAAAGTAAAACCTCAAACTCTAGGAATCTTAGAAAATGCAGGAGACACCCTTATGGAAATTGGAACTGGCAACCAATTCCTGATCAAAACCACAAGTGCCCGTGCCATAAGAGATCAGATAGACAAGGGGGACCCCATCAAACTGACAAGCTTCTGCAAAGAGAGCAGGGGCACAGCCCACAGAATAGGAAAACATATTTGCCAACTGGATATCTGACAAAGGCCTAATAACATCTAGGATCTACAAGGATCTCAAACACGCAGAAAGGAAAAAAACACCCCATTAAAAAGTAGGTAAAAGACATGAATAGACACTTCTCAAAAGAAGTTATGCGAGCAGTCAACAGACACATGAAAAAGTGCTCAGCCTCACTCATCATCAGAGAAATGCAAATCAAAACCACATTGAGATACCACCAGTAAGAATGGCCGTCATGAATAAAACAACAACAGATGCTGGCAAGGATGCAGAGAAAAAGGAACGTTTCTACACTGCTGGTGGGAATGCAAATGAGTGCAATCTCTTTGGAAGACAGTGTGGTGATTTCTGAAAGAACTAGAAATTGACCTTCCATATGACCCAGCAATTCCCCTATTGGGAATATACCTGGAGGAACTCAAGCCATTCTATGTTGCAGCTCTATTCACAATAGCAGAAACTTGGAACCAACCATGCTGTCCATCAAAGCGGAACTGAATTTTTTAAATGTTGTACATATACACAATGGAATTTTTTTTTAGTTGGAGTCTCACTCTGTTGCCCAAGCTGGAGTGCAGTGTCATGCTCACAGCCACCCTAGCGTCGACCTGCTGGGCTCTGGCGATCCTTCCACCTCAGCCTTTCAAGTAGCTGGAACTACAGGTGTGTGCTACCACACCCAGCTAATTTTTTATTTATTGCAGAGATGAGGTCTTGCTAAGTTGCCCAGGCTGGTCTCAAACCTGTGGGCTCAGGCAATCTACTTGCCTCAGCCTCCCAAAATGCCAAGATTATAGGCTGAGCCACCAAGCCCAGCCCACAATGGAATATTATACAGCCATCAAGAAGGACAAACATATGGACTTCGCAGCAACTTGGCTGGATTTAGAGTCGATCATACTCAGTGATCTATGACAGAACCAAAGATCAGAGTTCCATATGTTCTCACTCATAAGCGGACCTTGAGCAGTTATCATAATACTATAAGAAAGGGATTGGCAGACGTGAAACTGCCAGGGGTCGTGGAGGCAGGCGGACTGTCAGTTGAGGGAAACTGCCAGGGGAGGGGCTACACCTCACCAACAAGGGTGCCTGCATACTGAACATTTGTGTTCCTAACCCTCAATTGTACCCCACATCTTTAAAATAATGGGGGAAAAATCTGAAAAGGAAACTGTTTCTAGAAGACAGGGGTGGCCACCTTCTTTAGTGCTGCTGAGGGACTGGGTGTATGGAGAGGTTTACTTGACTTTAGGGTTTATTTAAGATGGGAAGTTCTAGGCCAGGCTCGGTGGCTCAGCCTGTCATCCCAGCACTCTGGGAGGCCGAGGTGAGTGGATTGCCTGAGCCCGCAGGTTTGAGACCCACCCAGGCAACTTGGTGAGACCTCATCTCTACAATAAATAAAAATTAGCTGGGTGCGGTAGTGCGCGCCTGTAGTTCCAGCTCCTTGGAAGACTGAGGCGGAAGGATCACCAGAACCCAGCCTGGGCAACAGAATGAGACGCTAACTCAAAAAAAATTTTTTTTCTAGAAGAACAAGGGAAGTTAGGAGAGTTTGTGATAACATTTGTTTGGCAGGTGCCAGTGGTCTTACCTCTTCTGCATTTCTGGAAACTCCCCAAGTGGGGTTTTGTGGTGGTTTTGCTCTTGTTCTCCTTCTTGGGAATAAAAGCTGCCCCAGGAGGAAATTTATGGCAGCCTCATTTCCCGGAACTTTCTGCTTTCAGTCAGATAAGCAGAGAAGAGTTCTTTCTGCATCTGTTGAATCCTAAATGTCTTCAGTTGAATACAATCTTCACACCATCTTGGGACTTCTAGGTGGATTCTCTTCGGCCTTTGGCCCAAGAAGCCTTCATTAGGAAGAAGCATCTTCTGTTTTTTGGGGTTTTTTTTTTTAATCAGTATCTTTTATTTTAAAATTGTGGGGTACAGTTAAGGGTTAGGTATATAAATATGCATCATTCAGGTACCCTTGTTGATAAGGGGTGTCTCCCCGTCCCCAGACAGATATTGCCTACCGTTAGTCCCACCTCCCTTCCCCTTCCCCCCCCCC